TGAGACAGGCACAATTATTTCCATTCTACAGATGAGGAAACTGAGGCACAAAGCCACTTTCACAAGGTCCTCCCATTAGAAAGTGCCAGATTCAAACCCAGGAAATCTGGTTCCAACATCTGTGGCTCTTACTTGCTGCCTTGCCCTCAAAACTGGAAGTACCTTGAGGGCAGATCCTATGCTGCACGCTCACTACTGTATCCCCAGCAAAGTGCCTGCCACATTCCCCAAAAGGGCGTTGAATGAACGAATGAAACAATTTAATAAATCTCTTACTACTAACAAACAACATGAGGAAATAGTTTGGTAAAATGTGAGATCTCGCACTGCTTTAGCCTAGTCCTTCTCCACCCTTTCTGGGTCCCTGAGCAGATGCCACTGGACTCCCATCCTCTCTAGGCTGGCCTGGGCTCGGCTTTGCACCCAGAACCTGGACTTCTTGCCCCAGGCTAATGCAGACATGAGTGACACATACCCCTGCAGCTTCTTCTCTGAGCCAGCCCTGCTACTGAAATCAACAGGGAAGGACAGCAAACAGACATGTGACTTACTTTCCTTGTTGTTAAGTTCCAGGTGGAGATATTTTTCAAACTCCTGGCGCAAGTTGACATTGTTCATGCATCTGCGGTACTTACAAAAGCTCTTGACAAAGCTGACCAATTTCGGCCAGATTCTTTTCTGGGGAAAGAGAGAGGGTATGACATAGTTCAGCTGTGGGCAAACTACAGCCCGCGGGCCGGATCCGGCCCATCTGAAATGAATAAAACTATTGAAAAAAAAAGACCGTACCCTTTTATGTAATGATGTTTACTTTGAGTTTATATTAGTTCACACAAACACTCCATCCATGCTTTTGTTCTGGCCCTCCAGTCCAGTTTAAGAACCCACTGTGGTCCTCGAGTCAAAAAGTTTGCCCACCCCTGGCCTATGGTCTCAACTCTTGAGCTCAACCCTGCAATGCTAGGGTATATGGCAATGTTGTGATATAGAGGCCTGTTTTAGCCTCAAAGGCTCTTTCTTCCAGAGGCTGATCAAGAAACGCAGGCTTGGCCTCATGGAATTAAAGTGGCAAGTCTCTTTCTTCAGGATTTGAAGCACAACATAGCTTCTAGTTCTTTCTTCCTTCTGACGTGGTGTCATCCTTCTCCAGATGTATGGGACTCTCTCATTGTTTTCTTCTTTTCATTTGTCTATCCATGTGCTA